GAAGAAAGAGAGAGAATATGAGATTCTGCTATATTTATTGTTTGATGATTTCAAATGAGCATTTGCTTCAGTAGAACAGACTGTATCTTTCCATGATGTCTTATAAGATCTTTCCCACAAATGCATTACAAGATTTCTTGATAAAAGCAGTTATAGGGACAACTTTGTCCAATGAATCACTTACTATCAATCATAAATCAGGGAGACACGTCGTCAATGATAGACGTCACATACCAGGTTCACATGGACAAAGGGTTACCTGTAGAGAATGAGATTCTATTGACGCTCCTCTTTCTAAGGACATAATATTGTTTTCACCAAGAGCTACAGCCTCCTCCAAGAGACAAACGGCCACTAAAAAAAGATCAGCCTAGCAACCCAAACAGGAAAAAAAAACAAAACAGGCGGGTGAAAAATGCATGTTGTCCAGATTATGACACGCAAGTTGGCTGGGCAGTCTACAGAGGTAAGCCCATCAGTGCATTTGTCTTGGACAGACACTACAGATGGACAATGAACAGAGCCAAAAATTGAACAGAGGGGCAGTGGGTAGGAACATATTTAGCAGTTTGTACAGTAGGAGGCTTTCAAGTTACTGTCTGCCATCCAAGTTCTGATGCTCCCAGTGATGTTCAATGACTATAATTCACAAAAAGAATTGGAAAGGGGACTGACTGTGTGTGGCATGCACTGAAAGTCACCTCAGGAAATAAAACTCTTTTTTGCTCAGTCACTTTTGAGTCAGAGTTCAACTCTGGGAATCATTTTAGAATCAACTCGTTTGTGCAGTCAGACCATCTACCATTTAAAGAAAGTGGAGGTCAAGGCCAATACCAAATGAGAAGAAATGGTAAAGCTGAGAGGACACACAGAATTCAATCCTAACAGCTCCAATCTGACCTTGTGTTTGCTCTGTTGGTTCAGTCCCACCCAATTCTTTGTGACCCCATTTGGGGTTTTCTTGGCAAAGACACTGGAGTGGTTTGCCATTTTCTTCTCCAGTTCATTTTACTGATGAAGAAACTGAGGCAAACAGAGTTAAGTGACTTGCCCGGTAATCTTGGGCTGTTTGCTATTCAGAAACAAAACTTAGGCCTACTTCAGAACTCTCCTCACCTAATTATCAGCTAGACTAGTGGAGTCAAATTCAAGTACAAACATCTCATACGTTGATCCCCCCCCAAAAAAGAAACCCCACAAATTAACTTTTTTTTGTTTTAATGTATTTTTATTTACTTTGTTAAATATTTCCCAGTTCTGTTTTATTCTGGTTTACAAAGCAATCAGGAATTGTTGCTGGCTATGAGTCTGACCCCTCAGCACTTGACTCTTCTAAGATTCTCTTACATTTATACATATATATGTATGTATATCTTGTATGTACATAGCTGTTTTCATGTTGTCTCCCCACTAGAATGGGAACTCCAGAGGGCAAGTACCATATTGACTTCCTGTGTAGCCCCATCCCTCAGGGTACACAGCAAGTGCTTCATAAATGTTTAACTGGCTGATTGTTTCCCTCCAGCACCTTGGCTCTCTTATGTATAAATGGCCTGTGGCTCTGCAACATCAATACTCAGCTGTCCCCAGAAATTACTTTTCAAAATTCTGTCCCAAAACTCAAGGCCCAGTTTTCTCATGATTGGGGTGAAGTACCTAGAGGAAGTTACTGGGCCTTTCCATTTGCTTCTGCCTAATAAGCCAGGCAATCTATCCACCCTACCTCCTTTCTGAATTTTGATGTGATGGGGGGAAAGGATGGTTAGGGGTGATTCGACACTCAACCTTAGACAATGAAACAGATGCCTTGGCATCTTAGGGAGGGTAGGAACTCTCCTCCATCTGACAGATAAAGGAGGCCCAGAATCGGAGGCAGCCTGCCCATGACACAGTCCCAGAGCCCAGAGTAACGGGGCAGGAACCAGACCCCAAGGCTTCTGACTTCCTTCGCCAATGTTATTCACACTTTGCCCAATGGAAAACTGTAGGAAAACAGTTCTTTTGCTTTAGAATTTGTTCTCTCCAGACCAGATCTGTCAATTAATTACTGTTAGGGGGCTCCTCAGGGAGAAATTTTCTCTACCAATATTGATATAGGCACTTTCTCTACAACTGAGTCTTAGAAAGTTGTCTGGAGCATTGAGAGGTTAAGTGATCTTGCCTCTAGCAGGATGTATCCTCCCAGCTCTATACATACATACACACATATATACATATATACATACACACACACACATATATGTATATATAGTGGATAGAGGCCAGCGCTATCCACTACACCATACCGCCTCTCCTTTCTTATGCCAATTAGATAACTTATCTATAACACACATGCTCTATCAATAGGTCCTTTCAATAAAACAATTTGCCAAGTCAAACTCCACTGCACTTCACCACCCTCCAAATTCAACTAAAAGGACATCACGGAAATGAAGGAGTGTATGTACAGTGTCCTCAGCCATTATCTAATATGGAACACACACACACACACACACACACACACACACACACACACACAGAGTTCAAATGAGAGAAGACTCTAAGGAAAAACTAAGGAGACTACCTCTAAACCAGAAATGCAAAAAAACAGCACAAACCTCCCCCAGCCCCCCATCCTTTCTTGTTGAATGTTTGCTTTTGTTAGGTGGGTGTTTAAAATAAAAAAAAAACAACGCCCCAGGAAACCACTTTTCAAAGTTTCAGATCAGCCCAGGGCTGAGCAGGGAGTTAAAACTGTTTCTATTTGATAACACTTAGCTTAGGGCCACTTTCTTTCTATCCACCCTTTTAGCCCTCTCCTTTGCTACAGACAAGGCTTCCTCCCAACCTGGGGAAGTCCTGCTGTGGCCATCTTTCTGATGGGCAATTTTGAGCTCTTGGGGTCAAAGACAAAATTCAGAGGGCACCAAAGGACCCTCAGCTGCAACCCCCAAAATTCTTTTCTTCTTAATCTTCAGGATCAGTTTAGACCATGATGGATCTGTCTATACTAAAAGAGGGTAATCAGACAAAAAATCCGCACTTGATAATTATCAATTACTTTCCTCATCTCTATTCTGGGAGAAAACAGTCGTGAATTGCCCAAGGATGGCCTGCTGCTGAATGCCAGAGGAAAGGCCTGGAACCCAGGTCTTCAGACTCGATCAGAATTCTTGGATCTTTCCTTTATCCTCCACCTAAGCTCTCAGGTGTGTGAATCATCTTTCTAGTAAACTGAGGTGACAGCCAAAATCTGCTTCAGTTTCTTGATAGAATCTAACCACTGAGTCTCAGCGACACATAAAACCCACCATTAAATCCACCTGCTCCCATAAAGACCCTCTGACACCATCCTTGTTTCTTACCACCATCACCCCATCCCCACCATCATCTCCATCATCTAGTCTTCCTCAAACCGCTATCACAAATTTCTTTTCCCCTTTTTCTGCTGTTATCGACCCTCCTCTTCCCCTTGGCGGTCAGGGATATCACCACCCCTGCCTACCACCACCCCCATGTCAACTTCCTCACTCACCTCTCCTATCTCACGCTCATTACTTCCTCCCTCAAATAAAAGGAATCACCTCTTTCAAATACAACAACCTTTACATTTCATCACTACTAATTACATCTCTTTTCCATCCCCTTCCTTCACCGTTACCACCTCCTCGATCATCATCAACCCTCTCCAGCCCAAAAAACTTCTCATCACCTTCTCTCCGACATCACTGCTTGCCCATCCTCCCCTCCCTGCATTACATGTCTACACAGTCTCTTCTTTCCTGCCGTCACTCCTTGCTCACTCTTCCTCCTCCCTGGCATCTCTGCTTCTCCCCTCATTACCTGCTCCTTCCAGTCATCATCCTTCCATCATTTCTTCTCTCTCCTATCACCTCCACCTCCTGTTACCAAACCCCATAGAAACCTCCCCCACCCCCCATCTTCAAAGGCAGTGTGTGTGGCATAGTGGAAAAAGCACTCGTTTTTGAAGTCAGAGAATCTTGGGTTATTGACTTTGTGACCTTTGTGTAAGACGTGTCCCCTCTGCTCCCCTCCTTGGGCCTCAGTTTCCTGCTCAGTAAATGAAGGGAGTTGCCCGGATGGCCCTGAGGTCCGAACTTGTGTGACCCTCGGGCACTTGTGCCCTCTGGGCCTCGGCTTCCCGCTCGGTAAAACTAGGGCTGCCGGGGGTCCGACTGGCCCCTAGGTCACTGCCCCCGCCCCGACTTCATCAGTGCCCCACCCTCGCCCCATCTACCGCACAGAGGTGCGCGCAGGACCACACCCAGGTGGGCGGCCAGGCTGGATCGGCTCACCAGACTGGCCGGGGGTCAGTCGCCCCCAGGCCGCCCACCTCGTCCCAACTGCTCTTCCCTCTCTCCGTCTCAGACCTGTTCGGAGGGAGCTCCGCGCACCCACCCAGCCGCCACAGTGAGCGCGCCCTGCCGCCAGCCGGGGCCGGCTCCGCGCCCGCCGCCCCGCCGCCCCGCCTCCCGCTCCCGCCCGGCCCGCCGCCCCCCGCCGCCGCCCG